GCTAAATACTGTGGTCCTTATACAATAGAGAGAAAAATCAGTGATTTGAATTATATTGTAAAAACACCAGGTCGGCGTAAACAAAATAGAGTCTGTCACAATAATATGTTAAAACCACATTTGGAACGTACTAGTGAAGGTGAGAGTAAACCAGTTGCCACTTTAGTCGTGGTTAAATTGGAGAATGATCATGACAAACCAGATATAATTGAACCATCTTTTGATTCTAAGACTATTGAACAATCAGTTAGATTGAAAAAATCAGAAATTTTGTCAAATTTAGACTCAAAACTCGCACATCTGACTTTTGATCGTAGAGAAAAATTGAAAACTTTGGTATTTTCTTTTAGAAATCTTTTTTACAGATGTGCCAAACAAAACTACTGCTGTTTGTCATGATGTTGATGTAGGCAATGCTTCTCCAATTAAGCAACATCCTTACCGTCTCAATCCACTTAAACTTGATTTCATGAGACAAGAAATTAAATATATGCTTGACAATGATATTATTGAGCCGAGTAACAGTGAGTGGAGCTCTCCTTGTCTCCTTGTGTCCAAACCAGATGAAAACTTTCGTTTCGTAACAGATTTCAGAAAAGTAATTTAAGTTTCAAAATCTGATTCCTATCCGATTCCAAGGATAGACGACTGCATTGATAACATTGGGCAAGCAAAATTTGTGAGCAAATTTGATTTATTGAAAGGTTACTGGCATGTACCATTGACACAGAGAGCTCGTGAAATATCAGCTTTTGTCACACAAGACGGCTTATTTCAATATACTGTCATGCCGTTTGGTATGAAAAGTGCTCCAGCTACATTTCAAAGAATGATCAATAGTGTTATAAAAGATTTGGACTGTAAATGCTTATATTGATGATCTTACTGTGTGTAGTGATAGCTGGGAAGAGCATTTAACACATTTATATGATACTTTTGATATATTGTCACAATCAAATTTGACTGTTAATCTTAGTAAAAGTGAATTTTGTCGGGCCACTGTTGATTATTTGAGGCATACAGTTGGCCAAGATGAAGTTAAACCTATTGTGGCTGAAGTTGATGCAATTGACAAATTTCCTCCTCCTACAAATAAAAAACAACTTATGAGATAATTAGGCATGATTTGATTTTACAGGAAATTCTGTTCAAATGTTGCTACTGATGTTCAACCATTGACTCATCTTTTACAGAAAGATTCTAAATTTATCTGGAGTGATAATTGTCAAAACGCTTTTGAAAATAGTAAATCACTTTTTATTAATAGTCCAGTTCTGATCACTCCAGACTTTAAAAAACAATTTAAACTTGCCGTTGACGCAAGTGATGTAGGAGTTGGAGCTGTTTTATATCAAGAAACAGATGATAATGTTGAGAAACCTATTCATATTTTTCTAAAAATTAGATAAACATCAGAAAAATTATTCAACTATTGAAAAAGAGTGTTTTGCTTAGTTGTCTGCACATCAACATTTTGATGTATATTTAAATCCCACTATGCATCGTATTATGGTTTATACTGATCATAATCCTCTCACCTTCATACATAAAATGAGAAACAAGAACCAGGGGTTGACTAGGTGGAGTTTGTTGTTACAGGAATATGATGTTATTGTAAAACATATTAAAGGTAAAGATAATGTAAGGGCAGATGATTCATCTAGATCTTATTAAAACACTGTATACTTACTATGTATTTTGTACATATTGTTCATGTAAAGTTCTTGTTGCACACAACCTTTTTTTAAGGGGGGGGGGTGTTATGATATTGTAATTATTATATTTATTTATCTTGGCCTTATTTGTTTTGTGTGGCCTTATAACATGTATAATAAGTTTACATAATATTTATAATTGTTTACAAAATGATGTTATAACAGTGCAGTTTAGAAATCACTGGAACAACCATAGATACTGATGGTATGATTAGAACTTTCTATTTGACTTACATAATAATTCTGAAATTATCATAATCTACGATGTGTAATTTAAACTTCTACCATATTCTAGAAGTTTCCGTTCTACAGTTTTCTAGGAGTTTCCTCTCTACAGTGATCTAGAGATTTCTGTGACAACTTTATATATACAGACACTAAAGTAAGACTTTCAGATTAGACATTAATGTTCTCAGAAGTTCTCTGGAGTTGTTACATTGACAGTTTTATTTACGTTAACTACATCATACATGATTGTGACTTACACATAATATTCTCTTTGGATTACCGCAACAGTGAAAGAAGAATTCCGGATAAAGAAAAGGAACGGACATATATTTTAACAGTTAAGTTGACATTACAATTTGTATTATATTTCTTGTAAACTTGTGTATAATAATTCTTGTTAAATTTTATTATTGATCTGTGTCTTTTGTTGGCTACAATTTAAAGGTGATTTCTGGCCGTAACACAAGCTGTGTCCTTTAAAAAAAAGAAATGGGTGCTTGTGACACATTTTTTTGTGAACGTCGCATGCGATTGTCCGTAATTTTTACTTCTTGACTGGAGACATCACTTGTTGATTTAATGTGACCATTTTGTGTATCTTAAGGTAAACATGTATTGAGCAATATGTTGAAAGACATAATGACAAATAATGAAAATACGGATTGTTTAGTCTCTAAGAAAACCTATAAGAATCCGTCGCTTTTATTTTAATTTTTTTTGCAAATTGGTGCAATTTGAGTACTGTGACGCTATTCGCAAACACAACAAGGAAAGAAAATGGTTGATGCGGATTTTTTTTCGAAGTGATCAGGAGTTTCGGACCTGAAATAATGCAACTGTGATGCTAAGAATGTCAACAAGTATAATTAACAGATGCGGGAAACAATTTTGGCGTATACATTTCTTTTTTTGTTTTTTCATTAAGTGTAAACTGGGTTAATTTATTTGGATTAACTATCCCAGATTTCAAAGTGTGAAAACGGTATTTTTCGACTGCTCATGGAGTAATTGTCCTTGAATGACGAATTGAACACATCTTTTGCGTGTTTGCACACACTATGGTAGATAGATATATATTATTAAAGCAAAATGATCAGCGTAATAAGATCTGCAATAATTCAAAATCGCTGAAAAAGTGAGATGACTCCTGAGAGGAGTTATTGTGCTTGAATGAATAGTTTACCTTTCATATTTTTTTCTTACATTTTGAAAAGTGAAATAGGTAGATTCTTTTTTTCCCATTATGGGGGGAGGGGGGGGGGATCTACAAATAAGAAACGAAGAACGAAATTATCAATAGACTCCAATCAGGAGATGTTGCCCATGAACAAAATTTGAATCCATTTTTTCTTTAATTTTGCTTTGTTATTCAAAAAATAAACAGAAACTTGGTCCAGGAAGACAACATTTTGGCCAACAAATTTCCATTCAACATAAATAATTGTTTTCAAGTATATCAATGATATGCAATAATCCCAAGTGAGCGATTCAGCCTCTTTTGGGCTCCTAGTTTTCTGTTGGCATTGTTGTTAGCATCTCTTCGAATTATACTTTGTAACTGTACCCCCTTTGTATCTTCGTTTGTTTTATCAAAAGTATTATGAAGACCAAGTAGCCAATAACAGTATCAAAATCAATAAAAAATAATCAATAGAATTTTATTTACAGACCTCATATTAAAGTCATGACAACGTTTTTATTGACTTGCACTAATGATGTCTAAATTATCTGTTCCTATTAAAGCCTGTGAGAAGGTTAAAATAGAATGAAGCTTCTCTGGAAAAGGAGAATTTAGAGCACTTTATAGAAGTTTGAACTTTTTGGGTTTTTTTTTATTATTATGACCACTTTCGTTTAAGCCTCGCACGACGGTTCGAAGCCATAAGTTTCCGTCGATATACACGCCTTATTGAAATTATTATTAAAAAACAGTAAGTACTGATTGGTTGCTTATTGGTGTGGCTTACATTCAATTGGCTTGAATGAGTTATATAATTAGATATATACTACAGAAAGAGGAGAAGAAACAATATACTGATGGTCCGACATAATGGATATTCGAGACCCGATCAATGAATATGTTGCTACAACTATATAGGATAACATAGTGTTGAAGAAGCGCTGATTGTCATAATTGATACATTGATTACATGTATAGCGCATTCTAACACGTTTAGTGTTATTCACATCATATCTAATGTATGATGTGTATGGTGTTTATATACCGTATTATTAGTCACTACATATATAATACGAAAATGACAGCCCTGTTCACTAATGCGTTTACTCGATGCTGACTAAGATATACTCAAGTTACTAATAATATTGAAACTAAAACCTAAATAAAAAGTCCAAAAAGGAAAAAAATATATATAAAGTACTTCTAAAGAAAAAAATGTCGTTTTCTTAAAAACAGTCATTTAAAAAAAAAAAAAACAAAAACAATAGATGATATTAATTTCCGACCAATACCTTTTTAGGAATGTAAATTTTACCATGAGTTTACCAGCTAGGTATTCCGGAAACAAGTATTGTGCATACGGTAATCATTCCGAAGTCTTCTGTACAGTTTGCCATCATCATATACTTCAACACAAGAAAGTATTTGACATGATAGAAAAGAGATGATATGGGGTATCCATCCATAACACAAAATCACTACATGCACAGCAAAAAACACAAAAAAGCATAGGAACAGCGCTACTATTACTGTTCTTTGTTTCATAGTAAAATTGAGAATAGAAATAAGTATGTTTTAATATAACAAACAAGTTTTTTGTATTTGCAACAAAACCTCCACAAGATAGACGTTTGAGTATGATAAACTGTCTGATTGAGCACTTTCAAGATACGAAGATATTCTTGCATCAACGGATATTGTTATACTACATACCATCCAATAAGTATGCATTGGAATGCAGCTGACAAAATGATGTGTTAATTTATGTTTTTTATCACTGAAAAGTTTATGGAGAATTTCAAAACTGTATTTGATAAAGAGGCACTTGTAGTTAGTTCTTTATACAAAACGCATTGTTAAGGGTTTTAACCACTTACCTCCACCGCATATTGGACCTTCGTATGCATCACGACATAAACATACGTTAGGTTCTGTGCATGTTCCACTGTTCAAACAGCTTGGATTGCATATTGCTGAAAGGTAAATGTCTTGTTTTATACCCCGTAACGAATATTATTAGGTCTTTTATCTTCCTTTGTTAACAAGTTTTGTCTTTATGTTCTTTTTCTCAGAATCTTATAATGGTAAACGAATTATATATAATAATCCGCCCATACAGCATAAATGACGCTACGTAATCTGAGTCATCTCACATAATAGAATTCAATGTTTGAAATTAAAGACGATATATACAATTATAAAACTGTTCCAGGTTAGGGGGAGGGTTTGGCACCAACAAACTAGTTTAACCCCGCCACATTCTGTATGTGCCTGTCCCAAGTCAGGAGCCTGTAATGCAGTGGTTGTCGTTTGTTGCTGTGTAACATATTTGTTTATCGTTCATTATTTTGTTCATAAATTAGGCCGTTAGTTTTCTCGTTTGAATTGTTTTACATTTGTCATTTCGGGGTCTTTTATAGCTGACTATGTGGTATGGGCTTTGCAAGACATGTTGTTATAATGTACTTTCTTAGCATAGTTATTTAACATTTTTTTTTAACTACGTTTCACTTGACTTGCATCAATTCTTAACCTTTCTCTATCGAATAATCAATTCAGGTCCATGTTATTATTTTAAGACAAGACATCGGTGGTCAATAATTGAGTTCGTGCTTTTTGCATCCAACTTGCACCATAATAGTTCAGTGTTGATAATGTTGGTAGCTGCCCCATGAAGATTTTAAGTAGAATTTTGCTTGTACGACATATATTCGAAGGAAAGGTGTAAACGAAACACTGTTTAAATCCAAACGACATGTGGTGCATGTACTAAATCGGAGGAGCTGGGTTTTCCTGCTGTTCGTTTTTATAGCCAATGGTACGATAGGTGCAGACATCAAACACAGTAAATAGTAGAAAACAAAAGTTGGAAACATGTATACTAATTGTGCTGGACACAGCAATACGTTATATATACTGTAAAAAAAAGGCGGAAGTTACCAAAGTGATATTTACACTCATAAGTCGAAAGAGAACTGCCAATACCATGGCAAAAAAAACCGCGCTCAAACAGACAAATAATGGTAAACAAAACACAACATAGAAAACTAAAAACTGAGCTACACGAATCCCAACAAAAACAGGGGGTGATCGCAGGTTGTTCTCCGGAAGGGTTAGCAGATTTTGGTCCACATGCGACACCCGTCTTGTTACTCCTATGAAATACGTTGATAAATAAAATCAAGTATATAGCACCACACAATAGTGGATTGACAATTGACTCTAATATAACAAAAAGACATCACCAACTTAATAAATCATCGCTCAAGTAAATGTTCTAACCATCAAACTTGATCGAATGTGAGAATTTAAAATGAAAACACGTTTTTCATGATAAAAGATATACGGGACTGTTACCGGTATATGCAACACAGACATTGAAAAATGTCACAAAGAACGACACTAAGAACTAATGCAACACCAACACGGACCCCTTTTAAGCAAAACTAGGAGTGGCCTAAGGTGCGCCAGAAGGGTAAAAAGAGATCCGGCTACACATATAATCATCTTCATATATTTCAGACTTTATGTAAATGATAACTACAAAAGTAAATGCAGTGAAAATAATGTTTTCAAAGTTTGCTTCAGATGGTGTCCAGAATCTTTGACAAACGAGACGATTTTAATTTTGATATTTATCAATTTCCCCCGTCTAAGTAGCAATATACCAACTTCACCTGCATATGGGATATACATCTCCCAACTTATTCGGTATTCAAGAGCTTGCAGCTGCTACTCAGACTTTGTAAAATGTCACCAGTGTCTGAGCAGAAAGTTGATGAACCAGGGGTATGTCAAAGAACGTCTCGTCCTTTTTCTAAAAAAAGTTCATCGGAAGGTACTAAGACCTTGTTGATAAATATTCCGTATCAATTTCACAAATAATACACGATGGTCTTGAAGTATAGATTCTGGGTACTGACGTTGTTTATCATCTTAATAACGTGTTATAGTATTCTTTTATTTGTCCTTTTGAATATTACTTTTACTGTTTAATCTATTTTTGGTGTTATTCATTTGACGTGGCTCGGTACTTATACATCCTGTCATTGTGTTAATGTGCTATGGTAAATATTTGTATTCTTGTCTTTCATTTTTGCTTATGTGTTTTGTCTATATGCCTTTTTGTGCTTATTTGTTACATATTTGTTTGTTTTCATAGTGATTAAGATTATTACACAATGTTGACTGTTGTATCCATATTTTAACATTTTTACCTATTATGTCTGTTTGTTTTGTTCACACATCATTGTTAATATAATGGAATTTAGTGCGACTGTCATACAAGTGAGAGGTTTAACTAGCTATAAAACTAGGTTTAATCCACCATTTTCTACATTAGAAAATGCCTGTACCAAGTCAGGAATATGACAGTTGTTATCCATTCGTTTGATGTGTTTTAGCTTTTGATTTTGCCATTTGATTAAGTACTTTCCGTTTTGAATTTTCCTCGGAGTTCGGTATTTTGTGATTTTACTTTTTATCATAAACAAGCCTCTGTTCAAGCTTCACAAAATTCTATGTTTTGATTTTGGGCTTTTTTAGTGGAGACACTAATGAGATTAAAAATAAATCTAACAGAACAGAGAGTTCTTACCAACATTACAATTTGTATAATCATCCGATTTCCAACCCCTACAACAAAAGTAATCTGTTCTGTAATACTGCACTTGAACTCTTCTATAGTAGCAGCAACTAGGGAAAAAAATAAGATTTATAATTAATGATTAAGTAATAAAAATTGCATGGACATTTTTTTACTTCTTTTTTTTATTTTATATTCTTTTAAGAAATTCCTAAAAGACAAAGCTTACTACAGAAACAGTAGAATACTACATCTGAAACATATATTTATAATTGCCAAAATGAATAGCTTCATCTTATTTTTCATAGTTTATAGTGTATGATTGTTCAGGCTTAGAAATCATAGGTCTTATCCACGTGTGATAAATTTCAGATTCAAATCCACGAAGGCTTCTTTCAATTTTGTCTAGATATTTCTTGAAACATTCGATCTCGGTGGAAATAGTAAACTAACTTTGAATGCAGCGTTGAATGGAAGTACATTATGCATATTTAGAAAAGAAATTATGTACTTACCAAAGTATGTCAAAACAGGAAACAGTAAGTTTAAATGTGACATTGGTTGTTTGTAGGAGGAATTATCATAATATCTTATAGACCAAAACTTCCAAGTTATTCTTACATATGATTTGACAGCAAAGTCTCATAATTTTATATTTCTGAAAAGAATAAGATGACACTGATTCCCGCATTGTGGACTAGGCTTCGTTAATACTTACGCTCCACTCCATGTGCGATAAGCACATCGATATTCCCACCGCCATGTACAAACTTGTACACTGCAAACATTAGAGCCAAATCTATATAAAAAAAAGAAAAAAAAAGAGTTTTGATTGAACATTTAACTGAAAAAAAAAACGAGACACGAATTCAACTCTTCATTGGCGTTAACCTTCGTTAGGGAATGCATGATGTAACATGCGATTGTGAATGGTATATGGGGTTTATGTCATCTTTATAAGTGTGTTAAAAAGGGGAAGTTGCAATCAATATATTGTGTATTGTTGAATGGGTAAAATGATTGATGTATTTGTAGATATCGTGTATGATGCAATTGGTAATAGTTTATGGTCTAATGGGGGAATTGTATAAGGTTCAAAAGGAATCGTTGTAGTGAAAAGTTTTCGTGGAGCAAGGGCTGTGCACGAAATATTATTTATAAAACGCTTTAATACATGTTTGTCATAAATATATGCACTTGAACAAACGAAAGTATTAAAAAAAAAACAAAAAAAAACAGACATCATATCAGTTTTTTTTCACAATCTTACAACAAGCGGTAAATAAAAACAGAAAATGTCTCAGTCTTCATATTAAGCTCATTAGTATTACTGATAGTAACGTGTGTAACTATCGTCCGAAGTAAAATGTTTTTTTCTCGTTAAAACCCCCTTTTGTATTTTCACACCAGCGATAATGTAGGCAGGTATGTGTTTTAATTCGAAAAAAAAAATTTGATGCCCTCGCTCTAAATTTCATAGTATATCCTAAATAAAGTTTTTATTTAAACAGAAAAAAAAAAAAAAAAAAAAAAAAAAAAAAAAAAAAAAAACTTTTAATGATCATTTGGTAATATCTCCTTTGAATTCTGTGCCAAAAGCAAACTCGGAAGAAAGGAGAGTTATCATGGATTTAAGTTTTCCAAAGGGTAAATCAGTCAATGATGGAATTGATAAAAATGTTTATTTAGGTAAACATATAGAACTACATTATCCTAATGTAGATAATTTTATTGAAATTATTAAAGAGAAAGGTAAATTCTGTAAAATTTTTAAAAGGGATTTACGCCGAGCCTATAGACAAATTCCAGTTGATCCAAAAGATTATAATTTAATTGGTTTTACCTGGAAAGGCCATTATTTTGTTGATAGAGTTTTACCTATGGGTTTAAAATCAAGTGCTTTCATTTGTCAGACAGTTACGAATGCTGTCAGATTTATAGCCAAAAACCATGATATATCTTTGATAAATTATTTAGATGATTTTGCTGGTGCTGAAATTAGTGAAAAAGCAGATATTTCATATAAAAAATTGAAATGGGTTTTAGATAGCTGTGGTTTGGAAGAATCGGTAGAGAAAGCTAGTAGTCCTTCTCACAGAATGAGTTTTTTAGGTGTTTGGTTTGATACTGAGAAAATGACAATGGAAGTCACTTCTGATAGATTGGTGGAGATTTTTGACTTAGTTTCATTTTGGTTAAATAAAGACACTGCATCTTTAAAAGAAGTACAGTCTTTAATAGGAAAACTGAATTTTATTGCTAGTTGTGTTCGACCAGGTCGTATTTTTATATCAAGAATTTTAAATTTTCTTAGGGAGTTTAAAAATGAGGATTGTGTTTTAGAGGTTTCCTTGGAATTGAAGCATGATCTTCTCTGGTGGTCAGAATTCTTGGAGATATATAATGGTGTTTCACTGTTGAATCTTCAAGAATGGACAAAACCGGACGAGTATATGGCTTCAGATGCATGTTTGGTTGGTTGTGGAGGGGTTTCGAATGGACAGTTCTTTCATTGTGTGTTTCCAGATTTCATTGTCCAGCAAAACTTACATATAAATGCTTTGGAATTATTGTCCGTTATTGTTTGTTTGAAGTTGTGGGGACAGAGAGGCAGAAAGATATGCATTCAGTGTGACAATATGGTTTCAGTTCAAGTTATTAATCAAGGGAAATCAAGGAGTCGTTTTTTACAAGCATGTCTTAGAGAAATTTGTTTTATTTGTGCAATTAAAGAATGTGAATTAAGAGCTATTCATATAGACGGTATTGATAATAGGTTACCTGATATGTTGTCCAGATGGAGTTTATCAGATATTTACCCCATGCAATTTTATAAATCAATTGAAGGTAGAAATTTTCAACATATTAATGTAGATTCAAATTTTTTCAGATTCTGTCAGAATTGGTGAACGTAGTTTATCTGTTGATCTCCGCATGCTTAAAACACAAGCACAAGAATCTTTGAAATCTGCACATGCATCAGGAACTAGAAAAAATTTAAAGATACAGTGGAAAGCCTTTTTTCTGTTTTGTCATTTTTATAATTTAAAAACATTGCCTTGCGATTTAAATACACTTTGCTTGTTTGCACAGTTTTTAAGTAGATCATTTAAAAGTGTAGACTCAATCAGAAATTATCTGAATGGAGTTAAGGTGTTACATTTACTTTTTGATCTATCTTTTATTCATTTTGAGTCATTTTATTTTAGATTATTTATGAAGGGATTAAAACGATGCAATCCCCACACAGTTCGGGCAGCTCTTCCAATCACACCTAGTATTTTATTAAAAATAAGGGAAGAATTAGATTTTGATGATGTCAATAGTTATACATATTGGTGCATTTTTCTTTTTGCTTTCTATTTGATTGTAGAAAATCCAATTTGGTTGGGACAGTAGATGATAGCTCTAAATGTTTGCATAGAGAAAATATTTCAGTTTTTAAAGATTATTTATTAGTTCAGTTTCGTTGGTCTAAGACTATACAATTTGGGGAGAGAGTTTTAGAAATACCAATTATTAAAAATTTATCCTCTCCGTTATGTGCATTTAGTGCCTTCAAGGCCATGTGCAAAAAATTTCCTGTTTCAGCATCTTCCCCAGCTTTTCTTGTATTATCTGGTAGAAAAACTAAGCCAGTGTCCTACAATATGTTACAGACATTTTTAAAAAACATTATTGAGAAAATTGGGTTAGATCCAACAAAATACTCATCTCATAGCTTCAGAAGAGGAGGTGCAACTTGGGCATTCCAATGTGGTGTATCTTCTGAACTCATTCAATTACAAGGGGATTGGAAGAGTGACGCTTATAAATTGTATCTTAGATATGGTTTAGATGACAAGATGCAAGTCTCGTCAAAAATGATTTGTAGACTATGATATATGTTTTTTATTTGGAATTATAATTTTATTAGTAGTTAATAATTTACATTATATTGTAGGTTTGAAGGCATGGGGATAAACCCAGTTTAGTAATATCAGATTCAATTTTAAAGTATCTTCCGTAGATGAGAAATACGCAACTCCAGGCCTTTGGTGGGCTGCGTTGCGAAATGCTTTTAAGGAAATTAAAAAACAGGGTATTCACCTGGTATCATTTTAACAATATAATTGTACATGTGGGTACAAACGATGTATTTAACATTAATACTAATTTATTTGAGAAGTACATTCGTGATATTATACATGAATTGAGGATTTGTAATCCAGATTGTGTTATTATTTTATCTTCAATATTACCCAGGCCATGTGATTTTAATCATTCTGAATTGTTCGTCATCAATTTTAACAATGTACTAAAACAGTTGGCTTCCTCTCTTACTAATGTCAGATACATGGCATGTGAGAAGACTTTTTATAATAGAGTGAGGAAGCCAATTAACACTTTGTTTTCAATTGACAAATTGCATTTGTCCACCACTGGTCTTAATCAGGTTTTTAGCTTTATAGCTAATACTCTTGCACATCTTTAAATCTTTTGAAGTAGAATGAATTTTGATTGTGTTTGAATAAGAATTTTAAATTCAAATTTACTAGTAAATTGCAGCTTATTTTTAGGAGAAGGTTTACTCTTAATCTCCACATGAGAGAAAGTAGAATTTTGATCCTTTTTTTCTATTATTGTAGAGGGTTTACACTGTTGACTCTATCCTTGTTAGTACAATGGTTAGTACACCTGTCCTTGTGATGGGGGATCGAGGTTCGTGTCCTCGACTTGGATTATAGAAGATGGTGTAGACTTACTCTAATTATTTTAGAATTATTATAAAGTTGCAATTTGCAGTTTCTGAGATTTGTTTGTTTGGTGGACCTTCGGTTTGGCGGGTATGAATTTTACATTTCATTTGTATCTCATAGAATTTTTATTTTGTTATGCTTCATTCTTTATATTTATTAAGATACTTCTTAGTAGTTCTTTAATTCAGAGTTTATTTGTCAGTTATAATCTATGATCACATGGTATTTCATTTGTATTATAATCTTGACATATGCATATATTATTATGACTACCTGCATGTACAAACTTGTACACTGCAAACATTAGAGCCAAATCTATATAAAAAAAAAGAAAAAAAAAGAGTTTTGATTGAACATTTAACTGAAAAAAAAACGAGACACGAATTCAACTCTTCATTGGCGTTAACCTTCGTTAGGGAATGCATGATGTAACATGCGATTGTGAATGGTATATGGGGTTTATGTCATCTTTATAAGTGTGTTAAAAAGGGGAAATTGCAATCAATATATTGTGTATTGTTGAATGGGTAAAATGATTGATGTATTTGTAGATATCGTGTATGATGCAATTGGTAATAGTTTATGGTCTAATGGGGGAATTGTATAAGGTTCAAAAGGAATCGTTGTAGTGAAAAGTTTTCGTGGAGCAAGGGCTGTGCACGAAATATTATTTATAAAACGCTTTAATACATGTTTGTCATAAATATATGCACTTGAACAAACGAAAGTATTAAAAAAAAAAAAAAAAACAGACATCATATCAGTTTTTTTTCACAATCTTACAACAAGCGGTAAATAAAAACAGAAAATGTCTCAGTCTTCATATTAAGCTCATTAGTATTACTGATAGTAACGTGTGTAACTATCGTCCGAAGTAAAATGTTTTTTTCTCGTTAAAACCCCCTTTTGTATTTTCACACCAGCGATAATGTAGGCAGGTATGTGTTTTAATTCGAAAAAAAAAATTTGATGCCCTCGCTCTAAATTTCATAGTATATACCTTTACTTTTTTTTGCCTGAATAATAAATAGTCATGCAAGTTGGATATTTGTGGTAATCA